CTGCTGTTGAAACTGATCAGTGGCTGATTCCAGGAAGCTGGGGGCAGAGCAACTCTGCCTCCGGCTTCCTGTAGTCAGCCCCTGGTCAGTTTCAGCAGCAGCGGCTGAATCTGGAGCTAGTTCCGAGTTACGTACAAATTCAACTTAAGAACAAACCTATAGTCCCTATCTTGTACGTAACCCGGGGACTGCCTGTAACTTTCTTCAGCTTTTAGCAGCCAGATTTCAGAAGGTTCTTGCTTAGCAAAACTCACAAGGATATATTTTCCATATGTTTCTGTAAAAACGTAGTTTTGTATTTTACAACAGAAAAAATAAGCAGTCTAGAATAACATCAAATGTATGTCATTACATTCAGTTTTATATCTTGCATTGAATGAAAAATCCTGGTTGTTTTTTGGTGTTATCAATCTACCTTAAACATTGTATAAGGAATTGTACCTCCCTTACCAGGTTGTACCTTTGTACCTTCCTTAACCAGGACTCTGTGGTCCAGCACCATTCAGGGCCGGCCCACAACATTTTTGCACCTGAGGCGGGGAGCTCAAATGATATCCCCATACTTCCTCACTTGGGCCAAAACTTTGAAAGGTTTCAATTCTGCCTTCTTCCTGTTCTACTCCTCTCATGGTACTGCTCTGCTACCTACATATGCACCAGCAGCAGACACAGTTTTCTACACTCTTGGTCCCAGTGGCGCTCCCCACAGTCTGGCATTGAGGTAGTTGCTTCAGTTCGCCTCATGGTAGGGCCAGCTCTGGTCCAGCAGGACCATGGATATTCTTGGACCACAGGGTCCAGGCATAAGGAGGTCAGACCTCAGGGCAGGAGTGGGGAAGAATGGGCAACTCAACCAGTATCCCCACGTTGAGGGAAGGGGGGAGCACAGCAGGGAGTTCTGGCCCCTTCTGCTCAGCGGTAGCAAGGGGTCCTAAAATCTGCTGCTGCCACAGAGCTCTAGCCTGGGGAGCTGTGGCTGGTAGGGAGCAACGGGGTTTGGCTGGGGTCCTAGCCGGGGGCAGCATGGGCCATGTTGGGAAGGACCTTTCCTCATTTGGCAAATCCCCTTGTTCAGGACGGGTCAGGTCCCGAGGGTGCCGGAAAAGAGAGGTACAATTTGTAGTGCAGGTTTGACCTCCTTCGTCCAGGCAGGACCCTGACCAGTCCCGAATGAGGGGATTTGCCAGACCAGGAGAGATCCCTCCCAACATGGCCTGTGTTGTCCTGCTGCCTCAATCTAGGGCTCCAGCCTAGCCCCATTGCTGCCTGCTTGGCCATGACTGCCACTGGAGTTGGAGCTCCACAGCTGGGGATAGAGCTCTCTGGTTGCCATCAGAGCTCTTTAGCAGGTGCTGGAGTGCGACGGCTGCTGGAGCTCACCGTCGGAGCTCTGCCGCTGCCATCCCTGAGCTCTGTGGCTGCTACTGCAGTCCCCGAACACCGGGGCCAGAGTTCCACGGCTACCACTGCTGGGCCCCAACTACCACTTGGCCACAGGGGCCAGAGGTCCCTGCTGTGCCACTCACACCTCTGCTCCCTGGTTCTCAGCTGAGTTTCTGTGGTCCAGGAAACAGACCTCTGTGGTTTCCAGACCAGAAAATCTTGGTTAAGAGAGGTACAACCTGTACTTGAAACTAGAACAACTTGACATCTCAAAATGAAAGAATTATTGATGTCACTACATACAGGTGCCTTTTTCAGACTTATAAGAACAATTTTGAACTGCTTCAGTTGAGAGCTGTATACGTTTTAAATTGTGAATAGCCATTCATAACTACTTTTTAAAGTAGTCTGGCTGAATAACTACAGAATTGACTACAGAATTACTAATTTGTCAGCTGCATTTGAGTCTTCACAATTATTTATGGTGTTTGAATTGTTACTAATTGACTACCAGCCAGATGCTCGATTAGTAGCTGAAGAGAAAGCAAAGTGGTTGGATGAGCTACAAAAAGAGGAAGAGCGAGAGAGGCGAGAACAACTTGAAAAAGCACATCTGAGAGGAAGTCATGCCTTGAAGATGGTCCATTTGGTACAAGTAAGCAAAATAGAAATATGATTCTTCATATATGTCAAAATCACCAGCAATAAAAATGAACTGACTACTGGATGAAACTTTCTAGTTTAGTGCTGTCTGGTCCAGCAATATCCGTGACCTGGCATGATTTTTAGTTAGCGGATGTTGACTTATTGAGGGTGTGGCCAAGTTCTCCACAGTCCCATAAAGTTTGTTTACAGCCACAGTACTGTGCTATTGTTTAGTTCTAATGTACTCCTGAATGTCTTCTAGGAGCCCCGTAAGCTGTGGAAGTGTTGGTAATGATACTAGATAATATTGACCTCTAATGGTTCAGCAAATTCTCTGGTTTAGTACCAATTAGGTTGCAAGGCTGCCAGACTAGAGAGGTTCAACCTGTATCGTAAACTGAAATCTAAATTAATTGACTTGAATTAAAACATGCGGACTTCAGGAAATACCTTGAAATAATGGATGTTTTCAAAAGGAATATCCTTAAAATACAATTGTTCTCATGTTGCTCAGCCTTGCAAGTAGAAAGTTCAAAAGGTAAAATAGCAGATCTCACAGGGATTTGAGAATTAAAAGGATGCTGCAGATAGTTCAGGTTTTGTAAATAAAGCCCACATTTTACAAAACCCAATATAGCAAGTTTTCAACACTGGAAAACAAGCCCTGGGAAACAGTAAAAACATTTGCAGTTATATGGGAGGTCTTCAATTGCAAACACTGGAAAAGGAATGTTGAAACCACTATGAGTGTATAAGAAGTAGAAATGGAAATTTTATTTTTAAATTGCCTTTTTTTCCCCCAACATTGCGCACATACAAACATATACATAGCAAATAATGTCTGAGATTGATTTTTTTTTTTTTTTTTTTAAAGTGAAGAGAATTCGAGCCATTAATTTTGCAAAGCTTACAAATTCTGCTGATATGCTTTTTAAGTTCTTTGCTCCAAAACTACTTGGCTTGATTGTGAGAACTGCTGCCTCTTTAAGTTAAGGGTTTTTTAATTCAAGTCCTTCTGTGAGAATAAACTGCTTAAAGGGCTCTAAGTTAATAGAGCGATCAGGTACAATTTTGCAGATGCAAAGCTTAAGCATTTCAGAACCCACATTTCTCATCATGCTCTTAAGAGCTATTCTGGTTCATTTAGTGACATTAACATTTTTTAACTTTTTGAATTTAATGTTCATAAAATTGTTATACTGATTTTCTGCAACTCTGGATTGAGTTTTAATGAAGGGTAATGTTTTCAAAAGTGCCTAAGTCAGGGGTGGCCAACCAGTTAGAGACTAAGAGCCAAAATAGCTGTGGGTAGAGTGTAAAGAGCCATGTATTATATATTTATTTTTACCTAGATAGATAGATATAGTACACAAAATGTAGTGATAAAAATAACATTACAGGACATTTCAGACAAAATACAATAAAGTCCCAGTCACAAAAAATTCATGGCCAGTCCAAGTGAAGTCAGAGAACTTGACAAGGAACAAACATCAAACTGGGGAAAGGGGGGGGGGAACCCAACCTTTAAAAATAGAGTAATATTCTCACACTAAAAATAAGCATCCCCACCATGTATTTTAAATTGAGCACTACTGCCCTATTTGGTCCTGAGAAGTGTGTTTTTTGAAAAAGTTCTGTTGGCTGGGTGTTTTCCACTGAGAATCCTATGAGTTTGTAATTCAGTTCTCCCTTGTTACAGAATGCCCAATTACATACTACTTTTTCCCCCACAGAACCTCTGTTCCTCCTTAAGTACATAGGGATGAAGCAGAAATTCGATATTTTTATTATCACCTTTCAGTAAATGGACCCATGCCTTATTTATTGTATAATCCACTGTTGCAGTGAATACAGAATTGTTAATTGCCTCACAGCTGTTTTGTGATGCTTATTACCAAAGTATCTGAGCTCTTAAGAAAGATTAAACAAGTTATGTTTGTAACAGTTCTAGGACGGGTGGATCTTATCTTCATTTTACTAATGATGAGTGAAGGCAGACACAGATTAAGCCCAACATTTGCAAGTGTCCACTAATTTTTTGGAGCCACTGCGATTGGCTACCCAATTTGAGTCATAAAAGACTTCATCTTTTTCTTAGATTCTGTGTAGCTACATCTTTTATTGACTCAGTACTCTTGTTTTTTCATAATTTAAAAAGGATGAAAAGTTTTCTTAAAACCTTTTTCTCTATTTTGGATTAGCAATTTTGGTTCTGCTTAGTATAAAGATCTTGATGGTGACTCGATAATTAGAAAAGTTACATGACAGGACAGAAGTGAAATTTGAGTTTTTAAGAAAGGAATGGATTTTAGTCACTGTAACTCCCTGGTTTTTGTTTAACACTTGGTTAACATAACTAGCGTTTTTTGGGGGAGGGGTAATTCAGTACATCCAATCTCTCAGACATGGTGTGTGAACTAATAATGTATATAACATCTCGTCTAAGACTCCAACATGTCATCAAGAAAAACTAGGGAAGACCAGAATTGATTTTGCTGGTATTTCTGAGTTATAAAATAGACTGAAAACGTTTAAAATAACAGATTTTCAGAACTTTTATACATTATGACATTGCAAAGAGACTACTAGCCCGGTCTTTATAAAAAGCCTTTGCAGGTCAGCAATTTAATAAGGGCCCTGTGTTTTGT